CATCCCTTCCCATTGAGAGGTTGCTCCTCCCCACTTAGCCACCATCAGAAGTAGAGGTGCCCCTCTGTGAACTGGGTGCCCCCCTTCCTTCCCTGGTCCTGACTGCGCTTGCCAGGAAGGGCCCTCCTCCTTCCTGTGGAGTGTCTTGCTTTGTCGCCACCTCGCCCCGTGCTGTGCAGCATCAAGTGGATGGTCTTCTCTCTTCCCCCTTCGTGAAGGACTGACCCAGCAGATGTGTGGTCTCCTCTTTCAAGGTGGTTCTTGTGACGTGTGTAGAAGGGGGTGATGTATGGTTGATGGCCAGTAGGCAGGCTTTCTACCCCTTTGTTTGGGAATTGGCCCCTCTAAGATTTAATTGGCGTTTCTCCTGATAGTAGTGGGCTCACACAGTGCTTGTCCGTTGGTGCTTGACTAACTGCACCCAGCACAATGGTTCCCAGGTCCTTCCAGGACACAGTGTTTCATACTTTCCTCATTGTTTTGAGGGACACATAGTATCCCATGGTGGGGAATGTACTGTAGTTTCTTGGTTCACTCTTTGACTGTGGGCATTTGTAGGTTTTGTTTTTAATGCAAGGAGAACCTTTTGGAGGATTTCAAGCCAAGGACATTGTAGCTGATGTTACAATGGAATAAGACTGACTGCCGTTGAGTCAGTTCTCATTCATAGTGACCCTGTAGGACAGAATAGAACTGCCCTAGTGGGTTTCTGAGATGGCAAATCTTTGTTTTTTCAAATGAGAGTAGAAAGCCTCATGTTTCTCTTGTGGCTCAGCTGGTGGTTTCAAACCGCTGACCTTTGGAGTAGTAGCCTAATGCATCCCCCACTACAGCATTAGGGCTCCTCCTCTGAGTTCCTGAATGTCTGTAAAACAACCTCAGCATGCAGACATTGGAAGGGCTTTGATCCTCGAAAGGAAACCTTTAAAGGGGGTTCCATTGCGGGCACACCCCCATCTGCTCACCAAAGGGTCAGCAGATTGGAAACCACCCCCCCTGCTCTGAGCGAGAAAGACCAGGCTTTCTACTCCCATACAGAGGGACAGTCTGGGAAACCCACAGGGGCAGTTGGACCGTCGTGTCCCAGGCTCGCTGGACTGTGTCCCCAGAAGAACATATGGTGATGTGATGTCTTTTCTAACCTCTAGAGCTGTGGCTGGTCTCCCGCTTGAGCATGGGCTGCGAGTGTAATGCTAATGACGCAGGATCCGTGTGGGCTACGCTTTGAACCAATCACTTTTGGGATAGGAAAGCGATTGAACAAACAGGTGAGCTAGCAGAGATGGGGGAAGACAGATGTTAGCTACTTGAAAATCGCCCAGGAGCAGGAGCTCAGAGACAGGACCTTCCTCCAGAGCTGACAGAGAAAGCAACCTTCCCTGCAGGTGGCAGGGGATTCAGCCTGCCAGCCCCTTAAATGGTTCAACATCCCCCGCCCCTGAGTGTCAGAGCTGTCACGCGTGGTGTCTCCTTATAGTGGCACTCGGTTCTGAAGACAGCCGATGAACATTTTAAAAGTTACTTTGCTGCTTGTGGAAACGGGGTGGTGGTGATTGAGGTTAGATATTAGACGTGGGGAGCAGGGCCGTCACAGATAGCTGGGTGCATTATGGACCCCTCATTCCAAGCCCTTGCACGAATGGTGCCCCCAAGGGTCATGCAACATGGCAGCCCTGGTGTGGTGAAACCGGGAGGTTATGGCAGTGGCTGGGTGGCTTAGGCTAGGATCTTAACAGGTTAATGGGAGGAAGGGGCGGTGCCGGCCATATTTGGAAGTGGGGCTTTTAGGACGTGCTCCTAGCTTGGTTGTGGAGAGTGGAGGGAGAGTGAGAGTAACGGGGTGAAAGAGAGTTGGCCTGATTAGTGGGGTCAAAAGGGGGGCTAGTCCCTGAGAGAGAGAGGAGGAGAGCTGGGCGGGGAGGAGGTGCCCTGCAGGGAAACATCCCTGGAAGAACCACATGTTGTAGAGCCGTCAAAGGGAAACAGCCCTGCCAGGTCCCGAGCCCCACAGCCTCCCTGCCCTGCCCGGGGGGTGGCCCAGTGGGCTGAGGGGTCTTAGGATCAGACGTGGTACTACCCTGGCAGGATCCAAAAGAGCTGGCATCTCGGTCATGACCGATGAAGACCCGCACATGGCATCAGGGACTAAACACATCTTCTGGAAACCAGGCCCTGGCTTCCTCTTCACGCATTTCAAAACCGTCACTTTGTGAAAGTGCCCATGACGCCATCTTGTCCAGCGAGGGGTGCAGGGTGGCTCAGTGCCAAATGACCCCTGCCTGTCACCCAAACCAGTGGCCATGGCATCAGTTCAGACCCTGGTGCTGTGGGTGTTAGAACAGAGCTGGGCTCCCTAGTTTCCCAATGGCTGGCTGTTTGGGGAGTTAATAGCCGACTTTTTCTTCAAAGGCGCCTCGAGGTGGACTTGAATTTTCAGCCTTTGGGGTAGCAGTGGAGTGTGTTCACTGTCGGCACCACCCAGTCCTGGGAATGGAAGGCATCCCTCTGTGTGGTTTTCCATAGAGTGTGAGGAGCAATGTAGAGGAGGGCTGAGGAGAGGGTCCTGGAGATTCAGACCTCCAGGTCAAGGGAGCCCAGAGGGGAGGCCCTGGGAATGAAGGGGCATCGGGCGCTCCCCTTTGCAGGAGGGTGAACTACCAGAGCCATTGCAAGGTTTACTGCAAGGACCTTGAGACTGTGGGATACAGCCTCCTGTCTCCAGGTGTTCAGATACCAGGGTTTTATCTGGAAGGTTTTCCAGGCTGGACGCTCCCCAGACTCCCCGACTAGTCCATATCAGCTATTTATCATCCTCAGAAACTTCCTCCAGTGCTCAGCCAAAACAAAACAAAACACCCACTGTCATCAAACCTATGCTGACTCCTCTGGAGCCCTGTAAGATAGAGTAGAATCACGCCTTGATGTTCCATGGCTGTGGGTTTGGATGGAAGCAGACGGTCTTTCAGGGAACAGCTAGTGGGTTTGAACTCCTGACTTTCCAGTTACCAACAGACCACTGTCCCCGCTATGTCACCCGTGCTCCGTGAGGCTCACTAGAAGCCATTGATGGGTTTCCTCAGTTTACACGGCGGGGTAGCAGTTATGCACTGGGCTGCTAACCTCAAAGTCAGCCGTTCAAACCACCAGCCAGCTTCAAGGGAGGGAGGCCGGGTTTTCCATTCCCACGAAGATGTACAGTCTCGGAAACTTACAGGGGCCGTTCTGCCTGGTCCTCTAGGGGCGCTGTGCGTCGGCCTCGACTCCGTGGTGGTGAGTTTGGTGCATCAGTGTTTGGAGATGGGTGTGCCAGGGCACGTGTGTGTGCTTGAGACTCATGGATCACGGACCTCTGGCCTTCCTCCCAAGGCCCCTGGACCCCTTTCCCTCTCTGCTTTAGACCCTCACTCTGTCTGGTGTGGTTCTCCTTCCACGGAGTGGGGAAGTTTCCCCAACCCTTTCTCTCTCACCTCTGAGAGAAGCTTCTAGACTTCCTGATGGGAACCAGGTGGTTTAATGACACAGCGTGGGATTGTTGAGCCGAGTTCAAAGGCCTGCCCTCGGACACCTGGCCGTGGCAGCCAGGGAGTGACCGGCAGCGTGGGCTTCTGAGCAGCATGCCTGGGGCCGACCACGGCTCCGCAGGCCCAGCAGCAGGTGAACCTCTTTCTGCTCAGTTTCCCCACTTGTGAAACGGGATCCTTATCACACGCTGTTAAGTGCTTGTTGCTACTAAGAAGCTTGGGGGTCCAACCCTCCCCGATCCCCGCAGAACAGAGGCCTGGCAATCTGCTCCTGGTGAGATGGCAGCCTGGAAAACCCCGTGGGGGCCGCCCAGCTCCCGCTCCACCCCTGCCATGGCTGTGAGCGGAAGTGGGCACCGTCAATCGGAAACCACACCGTTGGAGGGCTGCCGTGGGATTCAGGGCACCCATCCGTGCACAGTGCCTCCTTTCCAAGAGCGGTCCGTTTCCAGCCAGTTGGCTCGGGGTCATGTGGCTTCCGGCTCAGGGGAGTGAACCGTGCCCCTCTGCACACTCCAGTGCATTGCTGTAGCCACTGCGAATTGTGAGCCCCTTCCAACCGACGGGTGTTGTCACCCATGGGGTTGTCGCTGACTCATTTTCAGAGGGAGATCGATGGCCAGACCATTCTCCCTGGTCTGTCTGAGGTGAGACGCTCTCCTGAGACTTCTCCCAGAGGTCTCCAAATACCCCACGGGGCTTGGAAATGCCAGTGGTGTGGCCCCCAGCACCATAGAAACACCACAGTGTACCAGGCACCGTGTGACAGCCAGAGCCAGTCCATCTCTTTGAGGGTTTTCCTCTTTTTGGTTGACTCTCGGTGTTACCAAGCCTGCTGGCCTTCTCCAGGGACTGAGAGGCCGCCATCTTCCAGGTCCGGGGCCCTGGCCTAGCCCAGAACGCCCTGTCTCAGGTGCCCTCACCTGCTCTGGGGGTGGGAACGGAGCTGTCTTCTCCGCCTTCTCCCTGCACCTGTGGTTTCCCAGGGTCTCCTAAGGTCCCTTCACAGCCCTCTCCAGATGCTGTAGAGCCGACTCGTGGTGACCCTGTGTGTGTCACCGCAGAACGGTGCTCCAGAGGGGCTTCAAGGGCTGACTTCTGGGGGAAATAGGTTGCCAGGCCTTTCTTCTGCGGCACCTCTGGAGGGACTCAGCTCCCCGCTTTGGGTTAGCAGCTGCGCCTAGTTGGCAACCCCCCAGGCCCTCATCTCTCTAGGACCCAGCAGAACTCTTGCAGCTCTGCAGTCAGCTGTCTCTGAACTCCCCGGGGCAGGCTCCACGTGATGTGAATTTGCTCAGTGAAGCCCCGGATCCCATCCGTCCTCCTTTGAGGAAAGACCCCCTTCCCTCCTGTCTCTTGTGCTCCCTTCTCTCTACTCGTCCTCCCGTCTCAGCCCCTCCCCGCCCTGAGGCCCGGGGACACTGTGGGTCTCGCCGTGGTCTGTCCTGGGGTCCCCATCAGGTGTTTTCTTCCGGACAGGTTTGTGGACTTCCACGCGGCTGCCTCCACCTGCTCGCCGTCCCGCGCCTCCCTGCTCACCGGCCGGCTTGGCCTTCGCAATGGCGTCACCCACAACTTCGCAGTCACCTCCGTGGGGGGCCTTCCGCTCAAGGAGACCACCTTGGCCGAGGTGCTGCAGCAGGCTGGCTACGTCACAGGCATGATAGGTAACGTGGTTCCAACAGCCCCCAGCCCGTCCTCTTGTTGCGTCCTGGTCCTACCCCCCCAACTGACTGCTACTGTTCTGATCACCCTGCTACCTTCCTCCTCTTCCCCCTCCTCCTTCCATTTCTTTCCCCACTTGCTCGCTGTTTGAGCTGGGAATACTTCTAGCCGCAGGGAACCATTTTCCCCATAGTATGCCAAGCTTGCTCTCGGTGGCCCCTCTGCTCAAAGATGCTAGCTGGAGCTAGGGGCCTGTCCTTCTGCTCTGTGGCCCTTAGCCTGCAGGCGTTTGTCCTCATGCTGGCTGCTGCCGGCTTGTCACAGGAGGGGGGCTGTGTGGCTGCTGTAGGAAGTCTAAGCGAGCCAGAAGAGAGAGGCCAGCCAGCCTCATGTGTCCACCTCGATCGGGAAAACATGACTGCCCCCTCTGCAGAATTGCACCCATCCGATTGGGTCACAAGGCCACCTCTAGTTGCAAGAAAAACTCATCCACCAACACCCCCACCCCCGCCCTTCACCTAATCGAGTGCTGTTTTGATGGACCAGGAAGGGGCATGAGAGGCTGTGCAGCTTCACAGGAGCAGCTGGTCTTCTCTGTCTTCCTCAGAGAGGCTGCTGGGTTTGAACCTCAGGCCTTGAGGTTAGCAGTGCAACCCGTACCTGATAGGGTCACTAGGGCTTCCAGATGGGGAATTGGAGACCGGTTGACTTGGGCATGAACAGGTTGACCTTTCACCCACCCCCCCCAAGCAAAACCAAGTTCTCGAGCAGTGGTTCTCAACCTTCCTAATGCTGCGACCCTTTAATACAGTTCCTCGTGTTGTGGTGATCCCCCCCAACTATAAAATTATTTTTTTATTTTTTATAAAATTATTTTCGTTGCTACTTCATAACTGTAATTTTGCTACTGTTAATAATCGTAATATAAACATCTGATAGGCAGGATCTATTTTTATTGTGACAAATTGAACATAATTAAAGCATAGTGATTAGTCACAAAAATAATATGTCATTATATATTGTGAAATATTTCTTTCTTTTTTTTTTAATAGATTATTTTATTGGGGACTCTTACAGCTCTTATAACAATCCATACATCAGTTGTATCAAGCACATTTGTACATTTGTTGCCATCGTTTTCAAAACATTTTCTTTCTAGTTGAGCCCTTGATATCAGCTTCTCTTTTTCCCCCGAAATATTTATTTCTAATGCCAAATAGATGAAATTTTGTCTTGAAGCATGGTGTAGCATGGGTAACAGTCTTCACACCAGGTACTCGTATGTGGGCGGATCTGCATGTGGGCGGACCCACTTGGAGACAGAGGAGCTGTGTCTCGGTTTGTAAGAATATTGGAAAAACATGTTTTTTCTGATAGTCTTAGGCAACCCCTGTGAAAGGGTCGTTCAACCCCCAAAGGGGTCACGACCCACAGGTTGAGAACCGGTGTTCTAGAGGCAGGAGAAATGGGGCACAGTTACAGGTAGCTACTCAGCCATATTGTCCAATGTCTTTCCCTTTTAAAAATCTTAGACCCCTTTCACTTACCGTTGAGTTGAATGTTTACTTGCACCAGGACGTAAGACAGCTGGTCTTACTGGTATCATCGGCCCTGATGCTGTAGAGGTGAGCAAACCGAGTTCCTGGGAGGAGACAGGCCTTATTTCCACTCACCTAGCAGCAGCTGGTAAAGGTCAGACCTAGTCAGGGTTGTCTCCTCTTCCCGTACGTAGTCGATCTGTATGCTGAGCACATCATCGGAAAACCTGGATGCGATGAAGACTGAGGTGGCATCAGGCTTGGAGGAAGGCTTGCTCCTTACCAGATGACACACCCTCGCTTGCTGAAAGCAGGGAGAACTCAAAGCACTTGCTGAGGAAGGCGGAGGACGGCAGGCTTCAGGATGGACTACAACTCCGTGTAAAGAGGACCAAACTCCTCACAACGGCACCAGTAAATAGCACCTTGCTAAGCGAAGAAAAGAGCAAAGTGGTCAAG